AATATACTGTGCGCTCTGTGGCTAGAGGAATAAAGCTATGGGAAAGGTCCCGTGTATTAAACTGCTTAAGCATGAAATTTGATTATGCTTGTAGTCAAAGTGCAACATGGCGAAGACACTGACGCAAATGTTGTTTGTGCGATTTAAAACTGAGGCGAGGCTAACTGATCCAGTGGCATCATCCCAGAGGCCCAGAAATGTGAGGCGATATCCGGTAAGGCGATAGATCGCTAAAATAAACAAGCACGGTGTTGTGGGCACTTCAAAATACCATGAATTATTATTTATTATGAATTATTATTCAAATCAAAACCTGAGCTAACATGAACCAACAATGATCAGTTGTATTTTTTTAACTAATGTTATCAAAGAATAATTGTTACCTATTGTTCTATATTATTCTTTTGTATGATCTATTTGTAACACATTTACTTTATAAATTTTGTGTATTGTTTATTGTATTTAATTGTAAAAAAAAGTGTTGTTAGTGAATGAGACCCACTATTAGATCTAATACATATTGCTGAAAAAAAAAAAAAAAAATTAATGCATCTAATTGAATTTTTTCTATTATGATATGCTTCAATTTCTAAGTCGAACAACCAACCATAGCTATGCATCTAATAAGTCACAGAGAAAATGGTTTCCTTCCCAGCATACACTGGGGCATGAATAAGGTTGCATTGTTTGACCATTTACCAGTTTGCACAGTTATTGCTGATTTTGTCACTTTTGTTGTCCTTTACTCAAAATGATCTCTTTTTATAAGCACTTATAAGAAAATTCTCTTTTGTTTTCCTTTCTTTTTTATTTATTTAGAATTTTTATTTAGCTAAATTATTTCATTAATCGTTAAATTAATCAAAAATGTCAGTAAAGACATTTATAATGTTGCAAAAGACTTAAAATAAAAATAAATGGTTCTGTAAAATAAATGGTTCTTTTTAACTTTCTATTCAACAAAGAACCTGTGAAAAAATTATCAAGGTTTCCACAAAAATGTTAATCAGCATAAAAAGTGGTTTTCAACATTGATCATAAAAAGAAATTATTTTATTAAATCTGCATTTTAGAATGATTTCCACAGGATCATGTGCCTCTGAAAACTGGAGTAATAATGCTTAAAATGTGTCTTTGCCGTCACATAAATAAATGACAGTTTAAAATATATTAAAATAGAAAACAATTATTTTAAAATGTAATAATACTGTAATACTGCTGCTGTTGCTGTATATTAATCAAATAAATGCAGCCTTTGTGAGCAGAGGACTTCTTTTTTAAAAAGCATTTAAAAAAAACCTTGCCGACAAACTTTTGAACAGTAGTCTTATATTGAACAGGTAATCTCTAAATCTCTCCAATAAATGCATGAAAATATGAAGGAGATTAATTCAATTCAAAATAAACCGTTTTTCGTAAGTTCAAACACTTATTTTCACAGCTAAAAGTCTGTTTATTAACATAAAAGGCACAAAGTTGAAATAAAAAGAGGAGGACAGGTCCCAAACCTTCACAGAAGTGAAGATGACATTTCATAACATTTCATAAATAATGGTAAAAAAAAAAGTGCACAGGTGCACGAACTGCTTTGTGCTTCTCTCAAGAAGCGGTCATGGGCGGAACGGGTGACATCAGACTCAGATCTGAGGACATTAATCATCTGCCTCACAGCACAGCAAAAGCCACAAGACACTAAGAAGGGGTGGGGAGATTAAGGAGGAGAGCGCAGGCAGTCATAGAGCATCTGAAGCAGACAGGCTCTGGCATTAGGAGGTTAGGGTTTGGGCTCAAAGATGTAGTCACACAGATCAGGAGGAAGAGGGGCTCGGAACGACAACAAAGAAAAGCGGTGAAAAAACTGCCAGACAGAAATTTAGTTTCTTGTTCTAAAGCCATTTTACTTCCGCAAAGTGAAATATTTATTATGATATAGCTACTGTAAATACGATTTAGTGATGCCCGATATATCGACATCAGACGAAATATGTTCATTTTTAATTTTATCATTATCGGCCCAATAAGAAAATTTGGCCGATATATTAAATCCGATAAATAATGGATTCCTTCAGCTGAGACACTTCAGGTGCATACTGTTTGCCATAATGGTTTTGAATTGTTTGAAATATGATTGCAATCACTTCAAAAAAGGAAATACAGTTAAGTGCAACATGTGCAGCGCATGTCTGTCATATAGGCTACATATTAGAACATCATTGTAATTGTGTGTTTGGGACATGAATTTAATTCTGAATTTTTTGTTTTTGTAATCAGGCTCCCAAAAATTGGATTTAGATTATCGGCTTTCAATATAAAGAATTATCGGTTATCAGACAAATGTTTCATATCGGTGCATTAGTAGAGGATGTCAGATTATTCATTGGGTCTAGATTTTCTGGAAAATGGATGTTCAATATAACATGGACCATAATTCATGATGTCAGCTGAAAAGTAAAGTGATTTCACAAGCAAAACAAGTTATTCGATTTTGATTTTTTTTTTCTATTTAGAGTAATATTAACCAACAAATCATAGAACAGGTACAAGCTCACAACGCAAATCAGACACAGGCCTGAGGACATCAGACTGTGATTTACATATTACCAAATTCTGTCTAAACCCGAAACAATCTCAAGCAAAGAGTGGAATCAGATTGGTTGCATTTGACAGATGATTGCTTGTTCTATGCCTTGAGCTGTTCTTGTGTCCAATCTGTCATAGAGAGGGATGTATATCAGTTTGAAGATGTTGTGGAACACACCACACCTGACAACTGTATTAAGGCCAGCAAATGCGACTATATTTACTCGATGGAGAACATGATCTTTGAGCAGCTCTCATACACTTGCAAGAGAGCGGATAGTAGGTTGCAAGTTGCAACTGTCAGCATCTGAGGTAAGTTTCATTACATAATCTTACGATAAAAGCGCCAGGTTTCACATGTTTGAGTTTTAAATTAGGCTATATGGACAGTTGACAGGCTCTGGTCAACTAAAAATAACTCACAGGACATAGGTGGCCCCTCAGGTTTTAATAGCACCAGTAGCCTTCGTGCTTTAAACCACTGTACACACACAAAAAAAAACAGTAGCCTAACTTGATTTGTTAAAGAATTACACTTACATTTTATCATATATGATTTAAAATTAAACATTTAAATGGGCAGTTCACTGACAAATCACCCTGTCTGTCCAAACATGACTTCCGCAGTACTTTAAAGAAGATATTTTGAAAGTTACTTACCATTGACTTCCATTATATGGACTGAGACATTTACTTAAAATAGGCCTACCTTATTTAATGTTCCACAGCAGAAATAAAGTCATACCGTTTTGGAACGAGATGACAGAATTTAGTTTTTAGGGTGCACTATCCCTTTAAGGGATTTCCATTGAGCTTTTTAAAATTAGTAGGCCTTAATGCAGAGAAACAACAAGGGGGTAATCCATCAGCCGGAAGTTGAAGCCTCGCGGGAGCCGCCAATGTAGCAGAACTTCACCTGCTGTTAGCATCCCATTGACTCCCATTAATTTTGGCGTCACTTTCACAGCGAATAACTTTGGAGGCGTCCAAAATAATTAATTTTTCCATTATTTATTTCGAAAGAAACACGACAATGTATAAAACGCTCCATTACTTTGTATCTTACGTCATAGCCCCGTAGATGCTGTTTTTTTGTGAAAAATATAGGCTAACGATTGCGTCACACTGTCGCACAATAGAGACATTACCGTATAGACAGGAGGAGAAGCTCGCAGGCAATCTTTTACGGTCTATGAGGCAATTGGGGGGACATGGTGGCATAAAGTCGAGGGAGAAGCCTTTTACTGTCTATGGGAGAAGCCCATAGATAGAGAGTCCATAAGAGCAACGGGACAAAATATTTCAACAATGTTTTGGCTTGGCACAGCTACTAGAAGATTTTCAGTTTGAGCCTACGCGGTCGCTCAGACATCAGACAGGAAGTGCAAAAATCGGGCTTCAGTCTTCTCCGTTAGAAATCAATGGGGTCGCTCTGTCCATTTCTTTTACTGTCTATGAGAAACAAGCACTCTCAGCCATCTTTAGAATTTTGTCTTTGAATTTCTGTTTTTTTTTTTTTTTTCGATGGCCCTGTAGGCTATATTTCTATTGTAGGTGAAGTGTATTTACTTATTGTAGAGTTAACGGAAGTTGTCATGGGCAATGTGATGTTTAAAGTGGAAGTCATAACAAAATGTCATTAGACGGGAATGTTTTAAAATGGTTCATTCATAAATCCGTAAGATCTTAACTTCATGTTGTGGAAATACAAACCAGAAGACAGAAAAGAGGCGTGGCTAAATAGGGTATATAAACTACAATATGATCTCATCCATTTAGCTACTTTTAAAAAGTGTTCCCCTGAATTTCACACACCCATTTGAGTCAGAAATAAAAAAAATTGTGAATTGACTCAAATAAACCATTACAAAATGTAGACCTTGAAATGTAGTAGGCTAATCGAGTCGTGTGAACCACTTTTATGATAGGCTACTTATGGTCATTTTGTGTTATATTTTGAGGCTTGACATCTTCAGTCATCAATGTCATTGCGTAAAGCCATTTCCCCCCAAAAAAAATTCATTAGAACTTTTTTCAGAAAAAAAGAATACAGAGTGACATTCGTGTGAGTAGCCTAAATAAATAGGACTTACGGATTTTTTTTTTTTTTTTTTTTTTTTGATGAACTATCCCTTTAACTTCGCACCGCCGTAGAAACGCGACGCATTGAGCAAAGACGTCAGTCTCACGCATGTGTTCCAACATAGACAAAATACTCCTGTAATAAAAATAGCGCAGACAGAACGCGTCCCATCTCATGTGAACGCGTTTTAACTGTTTTAAATGCAACTTATGGTTGGAAGAGTACCAGTCTCTCTACCTAATACAAACACTTCAAAGTCTTTTGCTTTCAAACCCAACAATACCAACAACTGCAACGACTCAGTTTAGCAAGTTTTGTGCTGTGTAATGGTACTTACAGTTGGGAGTCGGGAAACTGTATAGCCCTTCCACAGCTAAATAAAGACAGAAGTAGAAGAAGAGCAGCGGACAGTCTGAGTGTATCCATTATTCTGTCTGACATCATTTAGTTTTTCCCACTAAAATCCACTGAAGTACCCTCCTAAAGCAGCCGAGCTGCCGCCATGAGCGCGCGCTATACTTCCACAAACAAATCACAGATGCTTTTGGTCCCTCCAGCTACTTCTGCCTTTGCCCTGTTGAATTAGTTCAGATGTTTCTCCAGAGGTGTGGTGACAGTTAGGGGGAGTCAGGTGTGGGGCGTTTCCGTGTCTCTCGGTTTGCCAGTAAAGAGTCTGTGCGCGCCGTGGCGGATCAGTTTCCACACGCCCCCCCCACCCATCTGCGCGCGATCATCATCACTCGTGTCGCTCCATACAAGGAGTCCGAGCCGCACACAGTGGAAACGAGCTGAGAGGCATCAATGAGACAAGAAAGTTACTCTTTCATTAGATAGATAGATAGATAGATAGATAGATAGATAGATAGATAGATAGATAGATAGATAGATAGATAGATAGATAGATAGATAGATAGATAGATAGATAGATAGATAGATAGATAGATAGATAGATAGATAGATAGATAGATAGATAGATAGATAGATAGACAGACAGACAGACAGACAGACAGACAGACAGACAGACAGACAGACAGATAGATAGATAGTCTTGAATGTAAACTTTAGGTAAATATCAGTTCTCAGTTCTTACAAAGGTTTCTCCCAATGGCAAAGAGGAAATAAAGCTTCTATTACAATATAAATTTAGTTTAATTTAATAGATTTTTAATAACTTTTTGCTCATTAGATTACCCCCTAAGGTTATAATTTCTATGTTATAAAAAGATATGCAGTGTTTGCTGTCTGGATGCAGCGGAGGGGAGGTTAGCTCACTGAGCAAAAGAGCAGCTAACTCTGATCTCAGCAAATATGAGGATTTACACACTAAAGAACTGTAAACATATTGAAGAACTCTCTCTCTCTCTCTCTCTCTCTCTCTCTCTCTCTCTCTCTCTCTCTGTGTGTGTGTGTGTGTGTGTTAGTACCTTGGTTAGAGGTGATTTCTTCATTCTAAACCGAGCAACCACATATTGCAGCTGTAGAAATAAAAAAATATATACTTCAAACAAAGTCATCTAATTAATATGAGTATAAGGCTAGACTTTGGCCTTATGACTTTCAATTAAATTAATCATATCAAAAGCATGGAGACTTTTATGTGAAGAGTTTTGCATTCACCTTTTAAAGTGTTTTGTTTCCTCAATGTAAGACGCCGGGACGCAGCAGTATGAAGACAACTCATTCTCATAAAAGCATCCTCACGGATCCAGCAGCACCCTCATAACCTCATTTTAAGTGGATTACAGGGCTTTAGTTAGATTAGGTGGTATTAGCAAGAAGCAACGTCCAACACAAACACAACCAAAACAGCAGAATGACATTGAGAGCAGCATCAAGAACCACTGCTTGCAGTTTAGCTGAATGCATCAATGACAACTGACATTGAACATAAATAAATAAATACATAAAGAAATAAAACACAAAACAGAAAACTGATTTAATGAAGAATAAGTTCAAGTGAAATATATTCACAGACTGTAAAAAATTCTGCCGTGATTTTACAGTAAAATACTGGCTACTAATTGCATTACTTTCACAGTAATTTACAGTAATAAATTTAATGTAAATTATTGTATGGTAGTTGTGTACAGTGATTTCACAGTTAATGATATCACATCATTACTGTAATTTCACAGTGCATAACTGTATAAATACAGATATCAGCTGTAACTTGTACAGTAATTTGTTTCAGCTGTAAAAGTAATGCATAGTAGCCAGTAATTAACTGTAAACTTACAATTAAATACAGTAATGCATTCCACAGTTTCTGACCACAACAGCACATGCAAAATACCTTTAGCTGGATATGTACATGTTGTTGCATCAGGGTTGGAACTGAACTCTGCAAGAATCCAGGAGAAAAAAAGGTAATGAGCAAAAAAGGTAATAACCCTTTACCCTAAAGCGTTTTAAAAAATGGTCTTCATTTTATGGACAGAAAGTCAAGAGTCGTGATATAGAGTGAAATAGGATTATTAAAATTCAAAAAGTGACAGTTTAACCTTGTATTCTTTCATTCTTTAATGTTATCTCTGCTTAGTGGAAAGTATCATTACGACTGAACAACGCTAACCCTGGTCATGTTCTGTTAAACTAAAAAGAGAAAAAGACATTGAAAAAGATTGATATAAAACCAGTTACAATTTAAAAGTTAAAATGTATAGACATTTTGAGAAAGAAATGTACCTGTTGAGAGAGTTGACAGTCTGTGTAGGAGTTTCAGAAAATCCGTTGGTCAAATGAGGTGGCTTTGAAAAATAAAAGGGCGGGAATAATACAGAACCCTATAACGAAATTATTTGTCAATGCTTTGTGTTCCCCGAGGAACTTTTTTCATTTCCTCGCAAAAACTTTTGCGTTGCCCCAAAGAAACGTTGCATTCCCTCACAAAAACGGTTGTGTTCCCCAGAGAAACGTTGCATTCCCTCGCAAAACTATTGCGTTTCCACAAGAAACTGTGCTTTCGCTCGCATAGAGCTCAAACGGTTTTGCGAGCGAACGCAGAGGGAACGCAAAGTTTCTTGGGGGAACGCAATAGTTTTTTTTATCGAAGGAACACAAAAGCATTGACTTACCATTTTTAAGTTTCTTTTTTTTTCAGTGTAATTTAAAATAAAATGCAAAAATCAAAATATATAAATGACTAAATTAATTATAAATTAAGGCATCACAGCATTATAATGTACAATACAAATTATGAATATTCATTTAAAGATTTAGTAAAGATTTAACAGTGTTATTAAATTATTGTTTTTAATTATGATGGAAAAATGTATCAAAATGAGAAGAAAGACAGGAAAAGATGCAGCATGCACAATATTAGTCTGATACAGTCAGTGATAGCTAATCAGCCAGTAGCTGTCATGCATCTGACAGCATGTTTTTTTGCGTAGTGCATGGGGTCGTCAGCAGTTCATGGTTCACCCTCCAGGATGTGAGCTAGAGAGAGCAGGTAGGGTAAATGCTGTACACACTATCCACAGATTAACTGATCTCAGACGTCGCCTAGCAACACAACACTATCTATTTACATCCGCGGGAGTTGTCCGAGTTAGCCCAACTCTGAAGCTGAAGAGGACACGCTCTTTAAAAGGTAGAAGATGAATGAGTAAGTCAGCAAACGAGAGAAAGAGCAAGGAAGCAGAATGTCAAAGGGAGGATAAGGATTGCCTTTTTTGTGTGCGGGGAAAAGATATGAAAAAGGCAACATGCCCTGTCAGTGAGGTTAGTCTACACAACTTGCACTAAATGACCTCATACAACCTAGCAGGCGATGCCAAAGAGAGCTCTGTTGTGCATTTACTGACATCAGGGTGTGCGGTGCTGTTATGGATCCCTCAGTTGGGATTACACTGAGTGATGCTGGTGGGTTTTATTACCACTTGGAAATGGTACAATTGTTGGTGGATATAGAGATTAAGAGGTACCGTAAAATATGAGCGAGAGTTTAGTTTTTTTTTTCTCTGTGGTTTCCCTTAATGTTTTGTCCCTTCCATGCAAAATGTCTGTTAGATGGATGAGTATTGTAATTCATAAGCTGTATAATACTCTATATGTAATGGACCTAGTCCAGTAAGAGCTGTGTGTGTAAACCTCACTCCCCTGGCCTCAAGAGGAGCGTACTTATAGAGTACTCAAGAGTTTAGTGTACTTATTAGTGTGCCTTCCTCCCACGCTGGGAATGCCGGTTGAGTCCAACTCAGATCGGGTGGAGTCTGGTTACATTTGGTGCCGTGACCTGGATGGGAGTGAGGTTTAGACGAGGGTTGAGTGTAATTGTGCGTGCAAATCTCACTAGATAATGCGCACACGCCTAACGTGTCTTTCCGCGCTCATGCCCAACGTCCTTTAATTTGAAACAGTTGAGTGGAACGTGGACAATGAAGTATACTCAGGCCTTTAGCATCCTTGTTAGTGCACCAGCGGGAGACTCTGGTTCAAATCCCGCTTGGGTTATACTTGGTGCCGTGACCCGGATGGAGTGAGGTTTAGGGGGTTACTGTAACGGATGTTGACCAGTAAGAGCTGTGCATGTAAACCTCACTCCCCTGGCTTCAAAAGGTGCGCTAGCGACTGGCGTTAGTGGCTGCGGTCCTTAGTGTCTTTATTAGCGCGCCCGCTTTATTAGACCCCTAACTTCACACAAGGAATTTCATGAAATTACTATTCAAAAACGTATCTTCGAAAGGAAGATTTTGAGTGTCATATCTATAAATAAATCTTTCAATAAAAGCATAAATAAATTCATATGTAAATAAATGCATTAATGTCAAATGAAAGATTTGTTTATCAGTATGGATCTCACTGTCCTCTAAATTCTTCCACCATAGGGTTCAAATCTTATTTCTTATTTCATTTAATCTATAGCTGTCCCTGTCTGTAAGGCAGACGACATTTAAATATTAAAAATTGAGCCTTTATTGTGCAAAATTACATCATTTTAATTGAATATCTTTACATTCAGAATCAGACTGGAATCCATTTGCTCCTGTTTGCTACCAATTCAAATTCAGAAACTGAACTGCAATTTAAAAGGAATTCTCTATTTAGAATTTTACTGCACAACTCTGCTGTCATGTAGCCTCCATCTGATACAAGTCAGTGTTATAAAAATCTCCTCAGGGGATATATAATAGTAGCTGCAGTACATTTCAGTTCATTATTCAGATTGTTGGTATATTGTCAACATCATAAATTATAAATGCAGACATGGACAGAATAAACAGGACTTTGAGCTGACATTGTAATAACCTGAATAGTGATTTGGATGATAATAATAGGTACAGTATATATTTAGACATGGAGCGTGGCTTTAATTTTTAACACAGGCCATATCAGCCTTATGCTCTGTCTCTGTCCAAGTAACTAATGATTGTGTGTTAATATTTAATATCGGGCCTAATCATCCTAATCCTTTATTAGCTCTTTAGGTGTGGGTAGATCCATTCGGGAATAGTTTTGAAGGAAGTATCGACGAGAGACTGGAAACAAAGCTGTCTTGATGCCAAACCCCCTCATGGAAGAGGAAAGACGTCCTTTTTCCAACTGTGACAGTGAACACTTATCAGGATCAACCAAATGCTGGATTTTCAAAAGTGTGTGAAGTTTGCGGCGCCATTGTTGCAGTAAATTTGCACAACGTTCTTGAATGAATAATTTTTTA